TGACGGACCGACGCCCCATCCCAGGGAGCACCTGCCCAGAAGCAGACGGCCAGGACCCGAACCATCCCCCGTGAAACGTAAATGCAGCCAGTTCAAGAAAACACCCTCATGCAGGTTTAGAGGCCCAGGAAGTCTGCGTTCTCAAAGTCTACGCGCCTGGACTACAAAGCAACACACACTTGAACACAAAGCGCAAACTTGCCCGCCAAGCACTGCTACAGCTTGGAGGTATGTTTCATGCATAACGTGAAATCTGACTTGAGACACTGGCGTCTGAATACGTTTTTGGTGCATGAACCCTGACCCCTCCTTTTTGTTAGGAACTCGGAGCAAACGAGCTCCTCTGAGGGGGCGTCGCCAACGGAAGCAGCATTCATGCACTCATAAGCCATCCAAGATCTGACCTGAATATGGCTAAATAACTAATTACAATGATGATATCGTAACTAAATTTGATTCCACCTAGTGCAGAATTCCATCAGTGTTTATGACTAACACAGAAACATGCCAATGAAAATTACGATACACCCTTCGTTGTCTACTGTCTGCCAATTTCAGTGATGTTAAAATGTGGTATTTCCGGCTTACCTGCTAAATACTTAATATTATCAAGCTTGTGCGACTCGAGCATGGTTTTAAGGCCGGCAACCTCCGTGTCAATCTTCCGGTCGGTCTGAGTGAGCGCGCGATCCTGCTGCGCATGCTTGGAAAACAAGAAGGGGCGGGGCGTGAGCCCACTTCCGGTTGATGTCCCCGCTTCCACGAGCGCATAGCCCCTCCCCAGCAGTGCAGGCTGGGAGACCCGGATGAAGGCGGCTTGAAGGCGGCAGCCGTTGCTGTCCTGTTCTCACAGGACCACGACGTCCCCTAGCCCCGCTCCCTTCCGTCCTTGAGCAGGGGACCAGCGCTGGCCCGGCCCGCAGGGGCCGTCTGCGCTGCCGGCTCTTCCCGGCCCGAAGCTGCTCTGCGCAGAAGGCACGTTACCCACTTTGTCCTCAGTGCATGTCTGCTACTTCGAAATCCCCCTGAACTATACACCCGCTGCGGTCACGTCGATCCGACTCGGAGTGACCTCCACTGGGTTTCCGAGGCTGTAACTCATTACCCACGTAGACTGCCCCTTCTTTCTCCTGCAGAGCGGCTCGTGGGTCTAACTGCCAACCTCTTGGGCGATAATTAGGGGCTTTAACCATCGCTCTACCGAGGGCTCCTTAAAAGGTGGGCAGTAGATTCAAAAAGGCTTTAAAAAACCATTCTTAAAGTTATGGTGCGTGCCTTGACACTATTTCCATTGAGGTTTAAAAACTTGCCTCTTTCATAGTTTAAACGCCAAACCAAGCCCAACTGCCCCGGAGCTGGTTCTGACTCAGGACATGTGAAAGCGAGGTTCTGAGACTGTCGATCTTTATAGAGCTGGCAGCAGCAGCATCCATGGAGCAGCTGCTGGGTTTGAACTGCAACCTTGTGGTCTGCAGCCAAATGTCTGTATTAGGAGGCTTGTGGACCCAAAGGCCGATTTGTACCCTTCTCTAAATGCAATCCCGTTAAACTCGTTACATAATTAACACCCTCCCACCGGCTCTCCCCATGACTTCGCTGTTATAAAGTGGTTGTACTACTGCATTTATGCCTAAAGACACCGGAAAAGCTTCCCTAAAAATCCCCAGGCAAGGGAGTACTTCTGTACAGCTGTCGGCTCTGGCAGAGCACGGAAATGCCTGGATGAGCGGACCGCTGGCCCAGAGGCACTGACCAGCCACAGCTGGAGCATGGCAGCCTCCTGAAGGTTCCAGGTAATAACAGTATGACCGAAGTATCAGTGCATGCCATAGTTATGAAAATAATAAAAATCTGGCACTCCTTCTGGCATTCAGATTCTTTCCATCAATAAGATCTACACTTTAAGATAATAAGCTATTTGGGGGAAGTAGAAAAAAAATAAGGCACTTGTTAAGTGCAAGATATCCTCTGACAATAACCCCCAGTGTAAGTTCTACAGCCCAGGGTGGCACACAGGACTAACAGTGCATGGGATGATGCAGGGATTAAAGAAAAAAGGACACGGCAAATGCCAAGTGTCCTTTCTTACCAAAGCCACAACTTCTGTCCTCATTTCGAGCAGCTTCCTTTCATTCAACGAATACTGAAACACACCGGTCACAAGGGTCAGGGTCAGATGCAGGCACTTTCTCTCTCCTTCTCACTGTCTTTTTTTCTTTAAATCATTTTATTAGGGGCTCATACAACTCTTATCA